AGAAGCGGCTCGGCTCGGTCCGTTCGCTCGGAGATGCTGCTGGGAGCCGGTGGAGACGCCCACTCCTGGAGAGGGCCAGAGCATGTGACTCACTATGGATAAAGGTGTCAGCTGGAGGGATAATTGCCTCCAACGTCGGAATGCGGATTGAAATGGATGCACTCGATTTTTCCCCCCCGTCTAAACGCGTTCATTTGACATCGTGCGCTGCTGATGGCACTTCCAGTCTGTGACGACGCTGAGCCAGAGTTCAGAGGAGGTGTTCCGCATGGAGATCGGATCGGGCACCGAATCCCTTTTCACGGTGAATACCCCCCCCGCCCCTTTGCTGCCACCCGGTAGCGAAACTCGCAGCTTCACACCCCCCGCCCCAACATTGCTCTCTTTATATCTCTTCACACCTCCTTTACTCCCCGTCAGTCTCCCGGCTTTTTCTCCGAGCCTGTGCTTCAGACGCCACCCCCCCATCCCCCATCCCCCAGGCTGGCTCGGGGTTCACCGTGTGAGGAAGAGGTGCGGAGGGGGGGGGGCACGCGTGACTCGCTTTGAAGGCTCTGCGCCGCGGCAAAGAACGGCGTTGGGGAAACATCTCCTGTCGGATGGGCCAGAAACAGCTCCGCCCCCCAAGGGGGGACGCTGATGTGAAAGCCTTACAGAAAAACTACCGTTTCGACCTCAGCTCTGGCCTTGGGTTATATAAACACAAAGTACAATTTTAGACATGAAAGCACATTGGGCAAATTCATTTTGGAGACATTCTTATCTAAAGTGGCTTCTATGCCTATTAAGGCCTTGGTACATTTAGTGAGGTTAATTTATAAGTTTGTCGTTATATTTTAAGAGGTCAAAATGTTATTAGCTGTCCAGTCTGTCTGCTAAATGCTCCGTTCCCCTTCATCGTTTATCTGTCTGGCAGAATTAACTCCATTTTTTTGGGGTGGGGGGGTGGCGGACTCGATGTCAGCATGCAGCTGAAGTCACCTTTAACTGGGGCAGACTGGAGGATATTGGAGATAAAACGAATTATGCAATCCCACAAGTAACCACCAGGGGCATGCAAAGGCTGTTACTACTGCTTTTTGCGCTTTGCGTGATTTAATAGTTTTCGCCGTCTTATTTTTCAGCTGAAAACGGTTAAAATAACTCTTAATACAAAGTAGAATGCATGGAGGATAAAGCCCGGCTTCAACTATAGAAATCACAGTCAATCGTAATCTATACAAAGATAGATGATGAGGCCTACGTGTTCTCCGCTGCTTACGTAGGACCCGTACATGTGTCACTGAGGTACATTTCTGACTCTATAAGCTACCTTCAGTGTGTCAATGCGAACATCAGCAAATGCTCCATCACAGACTGGCACGTACCAGTTTTACCTGTCCTTCTACAGCTACTTCACTGCGAACAATTACTGAAAATGAAGGGATGTTTGGGTATCCTGGGGTAAAAGCTACGTGCTACTTACATGTGCGGTGCGACGTACAGGCTACTTCACTGTAAAGAGGCACTCCTGGATTTTACCACTGGACTGCACATGCAAATTGAAATATTAGTGCACTTTTAATACAGTGATTTGAGCTGAGCTTTTGTTTTATGCATGTTCTTACCTTGCAGCATCGCCGGGAGATATTTATGGTCTGATTTGTGTTGCGTGAGTGTTGATTTTCGTTGTCACTTCCAATCTGTGAGTAAAATGTTTGCACTCGACAAATCGCCAGTATCTACAAACATACAACTATCTATACCCATGCGACCAACTTTTTTAAACTATCCCTTCAATACTTAAAAAGAGAGGACATGATCCTTTGATGTACTGTGGGGTATTCAATTGCCAATTAATCGTTGGGGCTACATTGAAGTAAACATCTGTGATATTGGCGAAAACTGTTCTGGGAAATTGCCAACTACCAAATGTAATCCACACCCCAAGTAACAAAAAACCGAATTGGCCTGTCGTCTCATTTACTTGTGAAACGTAGTGTGTTACTTGAACTTTTCTAATACAGTACAGAGTCTACAGAAATTGAAATTTCGATGTAATTCCCTGCTACCTTAAAATCAGTCACTACGGATATTAGGCCTACCTGCCTTTATAGTTGGACCTAAAAAGCGGTAAGAATCGTACCTCTCCGGACGTGTTAAAAACCCAGTAGTACGACCTGACAGCGAGGTGTGAATTTAGCCGTACAAGAGGAAAACAGATAGGCTAACACGTAAGTACAATCCATTAGATTCACACAGTTGAGCAATCCCATTCTCACACTTCAATCAGGCCACTCGCGAATGCTGCAAGCTGCCGTATTCCTTCTATTTTTGATAGTGACAAAAGGCGCACGGTTAATAAAATATAATGCTCTTTAGATTTAATTTTCATTAATTCCAGACTATTGCCTCATTATTCCTTCACGTCGTTTAATTGCGACGTAATGGGTAACCACCCAGAGAACATCGGGCATATTTGCATAATAAAATTGTCCAACAAATGCAGAAATAAACACGTCAATAATGCAACGAGGCGACATGCTATAGTGATCCCGGTGAGTGTTTGCGGTACGGCGCGCGCTACACTCCCTGATAAGCAAATGAAACGCGCAAACACCACGGCAGACTAAACGACTCCAGTTTAGAGCACGATTAGATCAAAGTGCATGATTAAGTCTGCCCGGGGATACCAGGATACTTGCAGCATACAAGAGAACAAAACAGGATGAACAGAGCTATAGTTGAAGTATAATACTGAAACACATAGGAGTAAATCATTAAAAAACTGCCCAATGGAACTAATTCATTGGAAAGTGCTGAATTTACTCCGGATGTAGGTTCACCGGGTTATAGTGCACGTTACAAAGTGTTTTTTTCTTTGCGGACTGACAGTCAGCAGTTTAAACCAAGAAAGAGAAAGCCATCTGTTCAAGGGCGGGCAAGACAAGTCCTCGAGGGACAAACATGTGTGCCTTTCAAATTATTCTAAAGTAATTGCTTTCACCGATTCGTTCTTACGTGCTGTGGATTATAGATTTACGTAATCAGAACCATGACGTCCTCATTAATGTAAATTACTTACGAATGTAAATCAAACAGACAGCTGTAGAACAGGTTCTCTAAAAAACCGAAACAATTCATATATATATATATATATATATATATATAACAAGTTAGGAATTAAAGAAATATTTGACTGGAAGGCCGGACAGGCCCACCAATAATTGATGAGCATGATTCAAAATCGATACTAACATTATTTTTCCATTGGATATTTCTATAATAAATCTGTATTCAGGCTTTAACACAAAATTCGTCTCAAACCGAGTTGTTAAAAGTTCTTTTTATAAATGTCTTACTTCTTTATCCTTTTTTTGTGGACTCAAACGTGATTTTCCCCTCGTCTATGCGGTTTAAATCCAAAGGCTACAGTGATAGATGAGCTGTCTTTATACTATTCAATCACCTTTCACACTAAATGAATAATCAATATGCGTTGAAGCACCTGAACGACAGTCATCTTATTTGGAAGACACAATAATTAATAATACCTTTGTCTGAAAATGTGGTTAATACTCTCCAAACGCGTCTAAAAATGGGGAATCTTCTGAACCTCTGTGGAATTATATTTTTTTAATGACTGTCAGTTGTATAACATAATTCCTCGTTTGTTGCGCGAGATGCCAACAGCAGAAGGGACGACTGGGTTTAATCTAATGAACATGGACTGTTTGATTAATCAATAGCTAAATGTCAGCCCTGCCTTTTTAGGGGGGAGAACGAGGCGATGCGTGTTCTCCGAGGAAACAAACCCAAATCAATTACAGGCATCCTTCAAGGCCTTATCATCAAGGCTTGGACAAAAAGATCAAAATGGAAACCCTACCTGGTAGTTAAAGCGGAACTCATAGTGCCCACTTCCTTCTATATTTTTTGTTTTTTGAAAAATAATACGGTAAACGCTCCATCTGCAGGTCGTTTTGCCTAAATGAGAAATTATTAAAGGCCTACTGGTTTCTACAATTGATTATTATATGACTTGGTTCCGATTGCGCCGCGATTTATATAGTTCTACCTTGATTATACAGTCTTTATCGAACGTGTAGTTTTATTTAGCCTACATTCAAAATATGACTGTACGGTACACCATACCTGTGTTTTACTGTGGATGCTTTGTCGTAGCATCTGTGTAATCTACCAGTGTAAAGTTTAAATATTTATGTGAGATCTTAACGCGCTCAACAAGTGAAACGGAAACATTAACAGAATCCACACGAATTACTCATTTATAATTGGCATTAAATTAATTTGAATTTGCAAATCTTAGATCAAATACACACGGGGATAATGACTGTTAGGAAAGCCATTACTATACAGCCAGATGTTACTCTGATTCCAGCTGTGCACGAGTTTAATGGCGTCTAAGATGATATCCTGAAGGAGAGGAAACCAGCACACGTGTGTTCAGCTGTTCGCCAATTTAGGGTATGGAGTAAAAACTCCTGCAAGGGGGGGGGAGTTTTAACACACTTAACCCGAATGGTTCTAAGAATGGCCCAGTAAATGCATTTGAAAAGCCATTTAGGGAATAATGTCTCTTTGAGTAAAAGGTGCAGTTCAAGCAACTGTTTCATTTTGTCCACGGCACAGGAATTCACTTCTATTGGAAATGGTTTCCCTTTTTTTCCTGACGTAGACGTTTAACCGCCACGAAATGTATAATTCGTGTAAAATAGGTCATCGGGAATACGAAGGAGACTTAACCGTATCACATAAAAGTAAGTGGGCAAGAAAAAGTCGTCATATCATTTGAAATATTGGAAATTGGGTTACACGTTCCTTTGACAAATCAAAATGAAGTGTTTGAATAAATTACCATATACCTCATGTTTCGGTCCACCTGCCTAAGCCGCTAGTTTGCGATAATCATTTACTTCATAAGATTGACAGGCGAAGCAACCAATGAGGAGGAGGAGGGATGTGACAATGAGGCGGGGCCTAGACGGGCAGACATCCTGACGCAAGTTGATGCAGAGTGCCTTGTCGGCGACTGGCGAGAGCGCACGCCAGTTTGGAGTACGGGTCGTACTGGCTTTGTGTTCCCTTTTAATTACGCTTCCGTTTATTTTATTCAATGCAGCGGCTAAACAAATATATTTCTGGATGTTTTATGGCGCCATACCGTATTGTACCTGAAAAGGCAAAGACAAATGGTGAAGGAGGTGAAGAAAAACGGAGATACTAACTTGATTAAAAACGCTAAGACGTAAAATACAAAGGAATGCAGCATTTATGACTGGGAAACACTTTTTAGTATTTTTTTGCAAAACCACTCGACTGGGAGCAGTTTCCGGAGATCTTCCATAGCAATTTTAAGATTCTTGTTCTGGCATTTGCGGTTCCTTTATGAAAAATCAATGCACACGTTGTGTGCTTTGATGAGTTCGTAAAAGTCATCATTTTGTGGCGAGTAAATTGGACCGGGAGACTTTTGGAAGTGGGTAACAAAGGGAATACCTAAAGGTGCCCGGGGAAACGTCTCCTATTTTTTCACACTTTTGTCTTTGCCGGAGAATCAAGATAAATCATGGATTCGTGCAAAACGTAGAATAGCAATAAAAAATACATTTCATGAGAAGCGCTTGTCTCCGTAATATTGCTACACAAGTTACCTGCATCGGTAGCGCGGTAGGACTTTCAGACATCTGAAGGTAAACGTCGAAAGCATAGAAGGATCAGAATTAAAATTCAGCCTATTTTCGGCTGGTCGTTCGTGAATTTTGGACTGCGCATCTGTCGTTTTGACTTGCAAGATAACGTCGCCTGACATTTTCTTTCCTTTTTTTGTAATTCAGATACATTTGCCCCTATGGACAGTCACTAATGTGAGAAAGCTGAATGGCTGACGAGTCCGCCGGCGTTTAAGAGAGACGCATAACTGCATATCGACGGATGCATTTTGGTTTCTAAAAGCAAGCAGATGTGTACAAATACGATCGCCTCGACAGCCATGGATCGACCGCTCTGGAGTCTGCTAGCAGCGTTATGGATAGCCCTTTTCAAGTTTACCCAGCTGTCCACGGCAGAAGAAGGTAATAGAAAATAAACACATGTTGATTATTTAACGCAAAGCAGGGGTTAGCTATGTAAACATTGTGGTGAGTCTTCAAGCGTTGGGTTATAAAATCATCCAGACTCCTACTCTGTTAATGTTTACAAATCAAACTGTTTTTAATGTTCTTAAACCGTTAATGGTTATTCAGTGCAGCTGCTTTGGACTGGCAACAATGCAAAGTTTCCCCCTTGCGATTCATGCAGTTACGATTATATTCTTGATCCACAATATCGTGTTTGTAGTAGAGAATCGTTACTTTATAAATTAAATAGGGCGTTCTGATGACTACGATGAGGTCTAGTGGTTTAATTAAATTCAACACCAGTCTTTAACAACATAGTCTCCTTTTCAATCATGTAACGATACGTTGCAATCCGATTATATAACTGTTCTTTTTAATGATTACATGAAAAGCACAAATATTAACGCCTGCGTGCAATTTTGTGTTTGTTTACTGCATTATTGCGTTTAGTCTGTATTTCAAACCGCGCACGAATATATACGATGTGTCAACATACATTTGTTTTATTGCCCTAATATTGGTTGTTAGTTTAAAAACATGCGCTTTTCGTAATCAGTAGTTCGTGAATGGTTGGTTTTGTTATTGGTGGTTTGTTGTATAAACATGCCAGTAAAAAAAAAACTGGTAAGGGCCCTTTGTTAATCATTCTTTATCTAGATAATCTTAACTTCCTTTACACCAGTGACCAGTATTGCCCAAGCGCACCGTACTTTAGTAACCAACACGTGCCTGGCCTATACTGCCTATTGAAAAATGCTGATTTACTACTGAAGAAATGTATAATGTTTTATTATTATTATTATTTATTTTTTAGAAAAATCAAACAAATTTAAATGCAAAGATCAATCCAATGTTTAATCATATATGGAACAGAGGGGAGCGTCATTTCATACAGATACTTGAAAGCAAAGCAGTATTGGTTACATATGAATGTGTCAAACATTATGATTCTCGTCTTAGATCCAATTGGTCGTGTTATGAAGGCAGTTATGAAGGAATTAAGCCGTTGGCATTTGCGCTGATATGCATTGATCATAACAGATATTAGACGTTATTTAGTGCGCCGTTTTGATTGCCCTGGATGTCACTGTTGGCCTTGACCCCAGAATGTGTAAACAACACATACACATTACTCAAACCCAGGTTCGTGGGGAGTCAGACCTTGAGTCAAATATTTTGTTGATCCTGTGAACTGCATGTCATTTCTTGTCAGGGCTCATTCTGAACTAGACGATAAGATCTACCAGTGTGCCTGGAGCCCGATGAGGAATATTCACAAAAAAATAATTATTAGTGGTGATCAAAGAGGCTCCGGGAAGCCACTAGCAGACTAATCAGAGCTGGCACTGCGTTGGGTTGGACCCAGCGCTCTGTAGTGTTTTGCACACTTGCAGGGCGGGGGATGGGTGGCAGTCTATGCAGTGGGTTTTGATGTGTCATGAATGGCCTGAGTCCTTCCATGAGTTTTTTTTCTTTTTTTCTTCCCCAAGTCACTTAAGTGATATTTAGCCTTCTATAATGTACCAATCTGTAATGTAGCCGGCTCCAGATGTCTGAACCCTCCAGATTGAATGACAGGAAGTAACTGTACAGTCTTTGCTTATTAACGTCAACATAAAGGCCAGACTTGTTTACGAGGCGCCGGCGCTTCTCTTTTGTAGCATTCTGGTGGAGTAGGTGGATGGAGCCCTTCTGTGAGCACGGGGTTTGTTTGTTGGGGCGTCACGCCGTCTACGGGAAGGTGACCCCCCGCGGCGTGGCCAACGCGGTTTCCAGGATCTCGCCCCGATGCCGGGGAGAGCGAGACGGATCAATTGCGGGTCACGCGGATTAGCTGGACGTTTCGTGCCGAGGTGGCGACACCTGGTCCCCGCCGGCCGCGATCAATTAACGCGAGGCCGCTCGCAGGCCCGGATTACACCCGGTGGCCGCTCGACGGGATTCCCATCATGCATTGCGCCATCACACGCGGCGCGGCCTACAGACTGATCGCGTGGCGAAGGTGACCTGGCTCCATTTTTTTATTCTTTTTTTTCTGTACCATTGAGATCGATACTGAGAAACCTCGTGACCTGGCTGGTTTTCTTGCTTGGGTCGGTCCCCTTAGAACAGCCGGGAGCAGGCGGTTCGAATCCGAGACAGGATCAGGGCCGAGACTTCCAGCAGGATCACGGGAACGGGGTGGAGATCCGCCTAGTTCACACGCGGGATGGGCACGGGCAGTCCGGTGGGAGGACTAGGAACTTTCCACCTTCCCACAAAAGTTCCCAACTAGGAAATCAGCTGCAGGTGAGCAAATAGGGCGTATCGTTACCCAGGCAGCAACCGGAAAGCCAGACACAACTTCTGTTTTAAAGAAGCCAGAATTATCCAGAATTAAAATTTTTAAAGGGGGGTGGCTCTGTTGCGGTAGTCACTGCACCCTTGGTGCGAGCCTGGACTAGCATTAGCCACGTCACACTTAGTCGAGGACGGAGAGCATTAGCCGCGGCGGAGGGGGGGGCGCCGAGCGGCTGGCGCTAATGACGAAGGCACTCGCCCACGTCGCGGGGCTGCGCTCCCCTTTCCTCCAGCCTGTTTGGACTGGCGGTGTTTTCCTACATTTCGAATCTCGTCTGCTAATGGTGTGCTAAAGCGAGCTCATTTTATGCTATTAATTTGCCCGGCGGATGCTGTTATCCGCAGTGATTTAGTGAGCCCACCGTTTTACTTCTGACCTGTTTATACAGCTGGAAATTTTACCGAGGCAATTAAAGGCAGTTTAAGTGCCTGTCTCTAAGGTACAATGGCAGCAGCCCTCCTGGGACTCCCACCTGCTTGGATGTGGATCCCTTTACCGTTACGCAGAATCCTACTCTGTAAAACGTTTAAACGTTTGTCGTGGCATTTGCGTGTGTCCTTAGGAGACAAACACAGAGTGCATTTTACTTGATTGTTGGGTCTGGGGGGAGGGGGGTCTTCTGAATCAATTTGGACACAGCATTTTCAAGACTGCTGGAGTCTTGAACAAATATACCAGGCTGTCTATTTAACTTTTGGAATTGAAAAATATTTTCATTGCAATTCCTGTGATAATTCTTACGATATTTTGGTTGTTGGTCAGGCCTCTGAATTTTCAATTGAATTCCTGTCTAGGTCATCCTACTTCCTCGCCACTACTTACACCCAAATGGCTAAATAAATCATGATAAAAATAAACATTAGTTTATCTTTCCACCTGTGTCTGCCGAAAAGCGTTACGCCCGTATAAATCACTCCAATACAATCAGCTTCAATGCCATCTCACGTCACTTTTAAATTATTTAGCGGTGCAAGTTCGTTCTTGTGCTAGTCTCTCTTCGTATGACTGGCAGCGCGTTTTAATCTCGCGTGTATGGGAATGGGCGTTAGCCTCCCGTATGTGATTTCCTTTCAATCTCGTTTACAGAAGTGGCCCTGCATTTTAAAGTGGCACGCAGGGGGTGTTGTTTTTAACACAAAAAAATTGGGCTGCGAGTATTAGTGCATGAACAGTAAGTGGCTCTCAGCTCGCCGTGAAAATAATCAGTGGGAGTAAAATGACACACTGCCCAGCGATCGATTGATTTTTGTTACAGGGTGGAAAGAATATCATTGTGAAAACTAATGGGAAGGCGGGGTATGACGTGCGGGGTCGATTACATTGCCAAAAGACAAAAAAAATTAAGCAGAAATTTAATCTTGCTGGGCGAGAACCACGAAATCTTAAATCCTTCTTGTGGGAAAACGTCAAGAGTTTGAGTGGCAAAAAGAAGAATCCCTTAAAAGCAACAGTGGCAGTTAATGAGAGAAGCGGGGTGAATACAATCAAATCCGCCTTTGAAAATCATTCTTTAAGTTCTGTTATCCTGAAAAGAAACTTTAAGGCGCTTATCCCTTTCTCCTCTTTCTCATTTCCTTCCCTTCTTTCGAGACCAAAGTGCCTCCAAGTCGCTTTGCTCCTGGATCTTCTCAATGTCCTTCCCACAAAGGGACGAGAAGAAGGAGTGAGTGCGGAGAGGCAGTGCCATTTAGGCGGAGGAGTGAGACTCGCTCACCGCCTCTTTTGTTTTCCCGTTGTTCGCCTTGTCCCCCCCTGTCCCCCGCACGGTGTTTGCAGTCGCCGCCCGGATCCCCCGCCGCGGAAATGCGGATCTAGTCGTCGAAATCCCATTAAACGGAACCGATTTTTATATGAAAAGGGATTTGCATTTAAAGCGAGCCGCACCACGCCCGTATCTCTCCCGGTCGTTTAATCCCATGATTACCCCCTTGACGAGTTAAACAGCCGTCGACTTTGACTGCTGGGTTGGGGAGACCTCGTTTCGGCGACTCCTGGTCAGTCGGTCCCCCTCCGCTTTTCCATATACGGTTTAATAAATTGCCTGTATCCGTACAAAAATAAAACCCAAGACAGAGTGCGATTTTCCCTCATACTTTAATAGATACATGCACGTATATCATAAATCACGGTCGACGGGAGATTTTTTTTTTTTTTTTTACGAAAGACAAACTTCAGATTACATTTGCAACAAGGCGGAACACAGTTTTACTATGTTAATTTTAGTATATGGAAACCTCATCGCGGACTGTTCCTATGAATAATTTAAGGGCTTAAGAAGTAGTTCCCATGCGACTTTGCCTTTGAAAAATGAATTTGTGTGTTTTGCGCGATTTTTTTTTTGTTTTTTTGGTCTTGTTAGTGTAGAATATGGGATTTCTTTTTATGTTTTTTTTTTCTCCCTGAGCTTTATGTAGTGATATTGTCAGCATTCTATTTAGTATTTTTGGCCTTTTGTGTTTGTGGAGTATTTGAATGTGTTGCCTTCATTTCAGCATAGAGAGTGAGTTTTCTCTTTGAGGGGCCGTTACCGGCTCCCTCTTTTCATGAATGGATCTGTCAGGCTCGCCTCATTTTCGCTCCCGTTGACACCATCAACAGCCTGAGAGGCGAGACA